TAGAGAGTTGGGAAAAAAATGATGCTTTATGGATCCAAATCCTGTGGAATTCATCTCAGAAATGTCTGTCTTGATGTCTTCAGGGAATTTAAATTAATCAATTCCAGCCATCACAATCACTGATTTAAAAAATCATAAAAAAATCTATAAGTTTTAGAAAAAATTTTAGACTCTGTTCCAGTAGTTCATGAATATTGAAAATGTCTTTTGAGATTGGATCAAAGAAATGGGACTTCTATGTGCATTCATTTCCTAAAGGCATCCTTCAACTATTTATTCATTAGGCTGTAGATCAGAGGGTTCAGCATGGGATTGATGGCTGTGTGATATACAGAGGCCACTTTGAATGTTTGTCGAGAGTTTTGGAACTTGGGCACAAAGTAAAGGGAAAGGACGGTCCCTTGGAAGATGGTGATGACAGTCAGGTGGGAGGCACAGGTGGAGAAGGCTTTGTGACGCCCGCTGGCAGAATGGATTTTTAGTACAGTCACAAGAATGAAAACATAGGATGTGAGGATGACCAGCAGTGTACTCACCTCATTGAAGGTGGCAAAGCCAGAAAAGAACACGTGGGGGATGTGAGTATCAGAGCTCGACACAGCGATGAGAGCAGTGGACTCACAGAAAAAGTGGTTGATCACATGATATCCAGAAAAGTTTAGATGGATAGTGTAGCAAAGGAGTACCAAGGTGCTGCTCATACCCCAAAGATATGACCCAGCCACTACCAGGTCACAGAGCCTCTGTGGAATGGCCACTGTGTAAAGCAGAGAATTACAGATGGCCACCAGGCAGTCATAGGCCATCACTACAAGCAGGAATAGCTTGGTCACTACAGCTGTGTAGGAGAGTAAATACTGCAAAATGCAGCTAAAGTAGAAGATGCTTTGATCTGCCATGACCAGGTTCTCAAGCAGCTTGGGAGTGCTGATGGAAGAGTTACACAAATCAACAAAAGAAAGATGAGTGGGGAAGAAGTACATGGGGGTGTGGTACTTGGGGTCGATCTTGATGAGGACTATCATTCCAACGTTTCCTACCACAGTGATAACATATATTATCAGAAACACAAAGAAGAGATGGATCTGAAGTTCTGGGTAATCTGTGAAACTTAATATGGCAATGGTTGTCCTCAGACTCACATTTCTTGCTGCCCTCACCATAATTATTTTCAATCCAATGGTGTGCTTGCAAAGAGTTGTTCCTGCCAAAGAGAAGATTCTTGGGGGTGAGTGATAATTATGTCAAGACTTTGGGTGTTAGAGGAAAGAAAATGAGAAGGAAGAGTTGTTGGTCCTAGTTTACTCGACGGAGAACATGCCTCATGCAGATAGCTGCTACATATATACCAAACAAAGCTGAGTCTTTGAAATGTATTTGCATTTCCATTGCACTCTGTGTTTCCATTAAAAATACTTATTTCATTGCAATATGTACATCCACATATTTGTTAGTGTCATAGAATGCACATAACTGATGCACAATGTTTGCACATGAATACATGCATCAGTGAAGATTCTGTGAAAGAATATGTGAAATAATTGCCTCAAAGGAGAACATACCCTGCTATTGCATTTTGCTTCTACACTGGTTTTGCAAATCAACTAAAACCTTTCAGATAATATGTTTTAATTATGAGTATAAAAAATTAGGAAAATATAGAAAAAGAGCATAGCAATCCCATATTAGCAACTTATCCCATAAAAGTATCTTCTCTCATTGATTATCTTAATTGCTGAGGGTTTGTGGAGGACAAAGGCCTACTCTTGACCAGAGCAGAGTGTGCATTTTATTAGGGTTTGTAGTCTAATGGTTAGCTTTTACTATATTCAAGACATTGCATAGTTACCTTTTAAGGGTCCAAGACATATCAGGTAAGAATACTCCTAAGACTAACTAGATTTCATTCTTGTAACAGTTTATTTAACAATGTAAAGTGCATATAAAGACAATATGGATATATATCCATTTCCAAGTAGCAAATTTATTCTATTGTTTGTGAAACATGAGTGTTAACTTCTTCCTTTAAATAGGTTCAGAATTGGATAACATTTATAGCGACTTAACATTAAAAGTAAAATCAGAGACCCCCAATTACTAAATCAGGAAAACACTATTTGCACTTCTTTATAGAAAACCTGAAAAAATTTACCTGCTACAGAGAATCAGATCACCACCCTCCTGTTTTTCTGTCAACTCAGTATGACAGGAAGACCAAGGCTTTCACATCTAAGTCTATAGCCCTGGGGACTCAAGCTCTGGAGAATCACTAGCAACTAATTCTTCATAATCAACAAAACAGGTAATTTAGGCAAATGCTAGGTCTCTTGGACATGAATAATGACTAGAATCTCCTTGAAATTACACAGAATAATTCCAGCATGAAGTTGACAATTGTGCTTTGTTTGCACATAATTAAAATGCCCTCTTTAATTAATGAAACAAGAATAAAAATCAAATACAACTTCATTTATTTGAAATTCAGTAGGCCCCTTTGAATTTTGGAGGCAGCATATAGCAATTTTAGGTAAGTTACTCCCACTTATTTACAAAATTACCCAAAATCATGTCCATTTTTAGGGGGGTACAAAACAAGAGAAAACACAGTAAAACACATTGAAAAGTCTGGTCTCCCCTGCAAGCTGTGCTATGAGGGACATATGACCCAGCACTTATGATTGTTCTTTTTTATCATTTTATTATTATTATTATTATTATACATACATATGGAAAAGTATATTTGGCAAATAGGGGTTGTTCAGAACTTTTGATAGGCCCCTGCAGGGAATTACAGATCAAAACTTTAGGATTTTAAAGCAAATAACTTCCTCTGCAGAGAACTATTCACCTTTTTAGAAACTGCTTCTGACTTTTAAACAGAACCCAGTAGAATCTGCATGATTGACAATCAGCCACCAAGGTACCACACAACCTGCACTTCCCATCATGAACAGGGTGTTGTCTATTCTACTAATCTATAAAATTAGGCATGCACAGCAGTCACCAGCACTCCTTTTCTTGAAGACACACATAAGTGATATGAGCAATTACAAATGTCCGTGGTTCATCCCCTGGCCATTATTACTTCATGCTTCTCAACCTGAAATCTAGCCTCATGGGGTACTCCCTATGACAACTTCCTTATGGAAGAAAGTGCTATGGCCTTATGTTCGGATGGTTCTCTATTATTTGATAGCACCACACTAAAATGAATAGCTTCAGAACTACAATAATCCTGTTCTGAGGTAGCCCTGTAATGCATTGGTGAACAAAAATGTTTCCATTATTTAAAAATTCAAAAACTATGATTGGAACATTGGTATCACATTTTGAAACTTATCAGAAGATCTCTGTTTCAATACTTTACATGGTGGAGTAATATCCTCCAGAATTTGTTGTGTGCTCTAATTCTGCAACCAATATG